GACCCCGGAGATGGGGCGCCCCCTGGGGAGTCGCGCCCCGCGTGGGCTCGTGGCGACCTCTTACTCGGTGGCTTCCCAGACCTAGGCGCCGGGTCTCGGCTCCGCAGCAGCTCCGGGCGCGCCTCTCCACGTCGCACTGCGAAGGCAGAAAGAGTGGGCGTCGGGCAGGGAGGCCGGGGGGCGGCCGAGCGGCCCCGCCGTGGCACCTGTGGGTCCCCGAGCGAGTGCGCACGCGGCCGCCGAACTTGGTCTGGCTCGCGGCTACCTGCTCAACAGGCTGGGTGGGACGTGCCTTGCACCCCGAGTCCCCGCGCTGCTGCGAACAATCAGTTCTGCTCTAGTCTCTCCCTGGGTCTCGCGTCTTCTCTCTGATGACCCCACAGGATCCCTCGTCTTCCTTTCCCTATTGCATCCGACTTCTTTTCAGAACCCCTCCCCCTCCCAGCACCCTAAGCTGAACAGAAAGTGGCGGCTCACACGCACCACCGCGACGTCCTCAGGGTCCCGGCTCCTCCATTGCTCCAGGCTCACCCTTCCAAGCAGGTAGCGGTCAGCCGGGCGGCTCCCGGCAGCTGTTTCTTGCTGGGGCCTGGCGCAGGGGCAGCGCCGGGCCTGGGCTCAAAACCTGCTGCTGCAGAGCCGGCTCTGCTGAGTCCCACCCACTCCGCCAGGGCAGGGGAACTGAGTCCTGGCCCCGCCAGCCGCCCAATAGCCACCCCGGCAGCTACCGAGACCCGGGACCGGGAGGAGAAGGCCGAGGGTAAATGGGCTCAAGGAAGATTTGGCCAGTTTAAAAAATGGCAAGAAACGTCTCACTATGCACGGTCAGGGAAAACAGCAACGTTCCACAGTTTAAAGTCGTAGCATTGCGACTAGGAGGCTGATAATCGCAGGGATGGTGTTCTTGTCCTGGTTTTCAAGTTTAAAGTCAATCTGTTCTTTACCAGTTCAAGTCTGTGGCTACAGGGCATTTATATCTTTCCAGTAAGGTCACGCTTCTGTTTGGCGCATTTAGCTTTATTTTGTTGTTCTGTTTTGTTGAGTGTGGGTGTGTGCACGTGTGAGCATGTGCCTACCAGCACAGAAAAACAAGTCCTCACACTGTCTTGACTCACCATTGTGACTTGAAAAAGTATCATTATTCTGTTCCAATGTGAATTCACAATTAAGCATGCTTATTGTGGCTTTCTCAAACACAGGAACTTGGAAATAAATTTTTCCCGATTAGCTCCACATTTCTCCCCAAACCCACCACATTCTGTGATCCCACTTTGGACTCATCTCAATTGCACATTTTTCTCCCACTGTTGCCTGTTCTGGGTGCTCTCCTCCTCATGCCAAACATGTCTAAGTAAGCATACACAGGAAATATTTAAATAAGGAAAAGGGGGGTATTTACATAAACTTTGCCTTGAAATGGGAGGAACTTGAACTTTTGTGCTGCTGCCATCTTTGAAATTTTGTCTTCCTTGACTACCAACCCATGATAACCTACTAGGCCAGAAGGACTTTTGTCCTCAATGCTTAGAATTTAACACCTAGAAAAACAGTAAAAAGAAATATGTAGACATGCAGAATTGAATGGGATCTATTACTATTTAAAAATTAGGTATCATGCTAAGAAAGGTCAGAGAAAGAAGAGCAATGTTCTGCCTGAAGGAATACCTGAAAAAGGAGCCGCATTATAGAGTTAGCCTTAAAAAATTGGTCCTATTTGGGAAGAGATAAGCACTTTGTTACTGTTTTTTTCAGGGAGGAGAAAACTTGTAAACAAAGTTATAGACTAAGTAGGTGGGATGTAGGGGGTGAGGGGTGCATGACACCAGCACTGTAGAAACACAGCACAGTGCTTTTGGTAGAAATGTGAAATGCATAATAAAAAGCATAGGAAGATCAAGTGGAAAACCAGCTGGGTCCACAGGACCTCACTGGCCTGTCCTCTGGCTGTGATGCATGTTAATTTAAGTTTGTGTAAAAATGGCTTGGTTTGGTTTGGTTGTCCTCTCCTGGGGTTACTCTTGTCAGTATTCCCCGACTGGGGTCACTCTTGTCAATATTGCTTTCATCTTGGAATGCGACCCATTAACTTCTGGCTTTATACTATATTCAAACTCTACAGCACACCCAGCTTCTTAACAAGTACGGCATTTGACCCTAGTTAGTTCTACCATGGGTTCCTCAGACTTCCCTGGGTCGAGCTCAAGACAGTATTTCCTGTTCCACTTCTCTCCTTGATGAGCATCAGGCAGTGGGACAAGTGGAAAAAGTCCCCAATCTAGAGTGACGAATGGCTAGTGGCTCCAGAATGTGACTATGAACGACATCTCTCACTCTGCATGTTTGTTATGCTGAGAAATTTTGCTAAGTGAGGGGAGTAAGGGCTGGAGCCTAGAAGAAGGAGGTTCAGTAAAATGAGTCCTGAATGGTTACATGACAACCTGATATTTCATCATCTTGCAGGGCCATTTGTCTTTCCTATAGGTGAGTGTAGATTAACCTACTTGCCTCTGCTTTATTGAGAACAGCAAAGTTGTCATGACAACTTACCAAAAATATTAACAAGAAACATGTTTAGTTAAAGCATCTTGCCTTCCCTCATTGTCTCTGGTAGTTTTTTTTTTTTTTTTTTTTTTTTTTTTTTTTAATGCCAAGATGCCTTCTTTTTCCCTGGCCTCAGGATTCAAGTACTTAGCACAAAAGCATTCAAGTATTTAGTCTGCTCACACTTGCAAATGACAATGGAAACCAGAGATAGGACAGAACCCCTTGTTCTTCCAAATGTAGGTCATGAGTCAACCAGCTCAGCATCACATATGATCCTGTCAAAAATACAGAACCTCAGGCCTCATCCCAGTCCTGCTGAGTTGGAGCATTCATTCAACAACCTTCAGCTGACCCTGCCTGTAAAAGTTTGGGAAACACTGATATACAATCAACTTACTTAGCATGCTGGACCTCAAGAGGGGATATTGGATTCCTGGAGACCCAGTAGATTTTTAGAACCAGTCTCTTTCTTTTGTTCTGGGACATCACTGCCAGAATAGTTCAAATAAAGTCATGAGACTAATGGATTCATCTCCACTGACTTCTTGCTCCAAAACAAGTTTATAAACTAAAGGAAATTGAGAAATAAAGGGAATGTGAGCAATGTACTAGGTGGGAAGAAAGGAGAGTAACACTGCACATTGTGTGCTGTTTCTGCATGTCAGAAGCAAAAAATTCCTTTTTTTTTTAAGCAAGTAATCATTGATTACATTATGTACCAAATCACCACAAAAACTTGTACAACACAAGAAAGATAAAATGAAACGTTATTTTCTTCATTATATTTTTCTTCTCTTAATATTACATACATTCAATTTATTAAATATACCTACTTAGATAAATTTTATTTATTGGGGCAATGCCACAAAATGTCTCATTAGGAATGTAAAGTCTTGATTAGGAAAACAGATGATGTGATGGTAGATTCCCAAACTTTCCAGTCCTGGTGAAGGCATTCATGAAGAGAGGTTCTAATGGTGACAGAAATGTTGTTCACTCTCCTTTCTTAAAACAGACATGTTTTTAGCAGTGAATAGAATGGGTAGCAGAGTTATGCTCACCACTCCCCCTGCCCAAAATGCCCATGTCCTTCCTCATCCTCAAAATCTGTGAATGCATCATTGCATGGCATGTGGAAAGGGAGAATTAAGATGGCACACAGGAAGTGCTAAGGTTGCATATAGAATTAAGAAAGCTATCAACTGACCTTGAGATGGGAAGACTACAATGAATTATCTGTGTAGGCCCAATGCAGTCAAGAAAGAATATCTTTCCATTTTTTTGTGTCTTCTTCTCATCTTTTATTTATTTTAACAGTGTCTGGTAATCAGACATCTTCATGTGTGAAAATAATTAACATCATTAAAATAGCAATTTTTCCCAAGCAAGACAGATGTACTGCAATCCCTACCAAAATTTCAATGGCATTCCTCAAAAGAAATAAAACAAACATTACCGAAATGCATACAAAAATTAATTCAAAATTGCTTAAAAGATGAATATAATACCTGAAACCATAAAGTATATAGTAGGAAACATAGCCAAAAGACTGACCAGAGCTGACTTCAGTGATGTCTTTGCAAATTCAACTCCAAAAACAATGGAAACAGAAGCAAAATTAAAGAAATGGGCCAGCATCAAACTAAAAAGCATCTGCACAAGAAAAGAAACTCGCGTTAAAATGATAAGTCATCCTCCTGAACAGGAGAAAACATTTGCACATAAATATGACAAGGGGTTAATATCCAAGCACTATGTAAATCTCATACAAGTCAACAATAAAAAATGCAAAATCAAATAACC